ATTATGTCATCAATTAACGGTCAATACGAAAATGACAGTGCTTCCAATGTAAAGTGTAACGTAAAGCTATACAACAGATCTGAGCAATACAAATAAGCAGTACGGTATTACTGTAAACGCTAGTAGTATGGGAGTTATTTCCCTTGGTAAACCTAGTTATTGTATAGTTAGTGACGTGGGAGTTACTTCCCTTGGTAAATTTAGAACTACTTCGATTTTTTTATCGGTTCATTTGCTTTATGAGATCTCTGCATGCAATCATTCAGCCAAACTTAGTTTTAATAACGTTATCTCGTACTATAACTAATTTTCATTTAATTTTTTTTTAAATCTTATATAAATAACACATATATTATCGTATAATAACAGAAATATTCTTCAATGAAAACTGAAAAATACCTCCATGAAAAGTGCTACCATAACTAACATGTAAGTGAATCTCACTTTCCCTTGCCCCTTCCTGACAAAGGGAAACGGAAGTAATGGCTTAGTTCCGTCTCTGTCTGATGCCCATTCATATATGTGCTCAATTTCCGTCGATTCAAAGTTGTTCCTGTTCAGCCTATACACACTCTATCAATATTAGAAGCTGGTGGGTGTACCTTCCATCCTGAACAGTTCTGAGAATGATATCACTATTTCCATTAAGAGTTGTCTTTTCCTGTGTCTGTCGTGTCTCGTTCTACACTATATCTCTATCCAATGTTGATATAAATGTATCTACTTATTGTTGTTTTTGCCATTTTAATATATGTCTCACAATTCATTACACTCATTCACTAATAAACCTTACACCTTGACCTATAAAAGAGACGACAGATTTCCAGAATTTCACAACCTATTGTTCACTGGTATTGACATCCAGTGCGCTACAGCTAACGTGAAGCCAGGCTGGCTGTACATGGAGCAAATTGTTCAGGTAAGGCATTTTTTATTGAAAGAAACTGTGCATTAAGATGAATACAGCGAATGTTTGTAGTACAGATAAACATTAAGGGGAGAGATGATAGTGAGTAAGACAATGAGTGATAATATAGATATGTAAACACACAAATCCTAACAGAAAAATGTATAGTGTATTTATAAACACACAGTAAGGTTCACTACAGCGATTTTAAGTTAAACAATATAGAAATGATCGATTTACGGGAAAAAACTAATAATGGTTATAAATAAACACCAACACATACTGAAGTTTAATATGAAACGTATAACGAAATGCTAACAAACAGATATTAAAGTTTTGAAGTGAATACATACACAAAATGGCTACAGGAAGAAGAATCAAAATGTTTAAAAAAAATTGAAACAAACAAGGAATAAAAGAAATGCAAAAATATCTATAAACCAATTCGTAGGTACCGAAGGAAGATTGCTTTATGTAAGTGTAACATTACATGTACATCGATCTAGAGGGACATTATAAAGGCATTCTATGTCAATACAACATAGGATTGTTGACGTAAGAATCACATGATTCACAGTATTTAACGTTTGATATCACTGGTAACATGGCTGAGATAACAACAGGAACATATCACAATACCTCAATATGAAGTAAATGATACAATAAGCAGGTTGTGTACATGATAGTTACTGGGGTAGTTTTATCCATTAGTTTGTGTTTATGTATCGAATGAGAAACTTGAAAGGTGTTATGGTCGTTTAAATATTTAAACGTTTTGATATAAAAGTCACCTGAAAGAAGGTCAACACCTGCATATTGATTTACTGCTCGATCAACTTAAAACTCATTGATTTACTGCTCAATCAACTTTAACTTATGGATTTACTGCTCGATCAACTTAAAACTCATTGATTTACTGATCCATCAACTTAAAACTCATTGATTTACTATTCAATCAACTTTAACTTATGGATTTACTGCTCGATCAACTTAAAACTCATGGATTTACTATTCAATCAACTTTAACTTATGGATTTACTGCGCTCGATCAACTTAAAACTCATGGATTTACTATTCAATCAACTTTAACTTATGGATTTACTGCGCTCGATCAACTTAAAACTCATTGATTTACTATTCAATCAACTTTAACTTATGGATTTACTGCTCGATCAACTTAAAACTTATTGATTTACCGTTCAATCAACTTAGAACTCATGGATTTTACTGTTCAGTCAACTCAGAACTCACTGATTTACTGTTCAAGCAACTTAACACTCATGGATTTACTGTTCAAGCAACTTAACACTCACACTATCAAATCGTTCTTTCACAGAGTAATTGTCATTTATCTACAATACATGGATCTATTTCTGACACGACACTAGCTAGATGACCGACATTTATAAATGTTGGTGGAGGTAGTTTACTTTATATCTCTACGCTCCCGATTTTGTTACCATTTGCATAATATACACCACAGTCTTCACGTGTTTTACATAAAACAAAACAAAATATCCTTTTAAATGTAGCAGTTTCTTTTCTTTTTAAATTTTCCTTCTTCCATGGTGTTTTTTCAGTTCATGTTGTATGTACCGTCGAACCTCGTTATCTCGAAATCGGCGGAACCACGGGGAAGCTTCTAGAAAACCGAGCATTCGATTAAAGTGAGTTCGAAAGTTTAGTGTAAAAATATGCAGGGACCGACGAAATACTTCGAATAAATGAGGGTTTCGAGTTATTCGAGTTCGTGATAACGAGGTTCGACTGTACATGATGGTTGTCGTGGATGAAACAGAAATTATTTTCTTTCCGGAACACATGATTTATGCTACTTGACCTGATCTAAGCTTCTCCATGTAGATTTTTTTTTCATATTTTCGATCGTTTCATCGATTTTCAGATTTTGTGAACACGTCTTTTCCTATTGAAAATGCATCAGAAATTAACATTTTTTCTGCGAAATACTGTTGGCGACAAAATTCTATTCTTAAAGTGTATCTCTGAGCTCTTTTCTACATCCAAACACGTGAATAGTCCCACAATCATGATATAGCAAGCGAAATATAGACCACTATTCTCTCATGCTTATCGTAGTCTACTTATTGGGCAGGTAATATACAGAGTAGTATTATTCACGTTGTCGATGACTTTTACGACATCAATTATTGATAATTGAACTAAAAATAAAATTAGAATTACCAATAAGTCTATCAAACCGCACAATCCTGATCATAATGCACGCGTATACAATACACCTATAAAAAGGCGGGTGTGTGTTGTTTGTTGTGTGTGGTGGGGGATATTATATGATGTTCATTTGAATGACGATTATCTCGTAATCCTAAAATACAGTACATGACATTACAACAGCAATAAAAAAAACCCCAGTACATTGCTATTAAAGCTTAACAAAAGAAGGGTCTAATGATAGTCTCTATCGCCACATCAGCTGTAAATTTTCTTATCGTTAATCTGGCTTTGATAAACTTTACATTGTTTTAGAACATGAAATTAACCTGCATTGTAAACATACGAATACATGTGAACATGATAATTAAAGGAAAATCTCAAGACGAAATACTGGCCCTTAAACGTATGTACCGACAACAGTCCACTATGATAATACATATATGTGTGTGAATGTGTGTGTTTTATACACACACACACAGCCACCCTCACACACACGAAATAAAGGCTAGAAATTCAGGAACATCACAGAAAAGCAACATCGCTCTATATTGCTGTCATTGAAGACTGCTGTTAACTGTTTTGTTGTAGGCGGTCACCATGCTTCAGCTGTCATTCTGGTGACGCTGTGTTCTGTCTCTCTCAGAGTATGGTTATTCGTTAAAGATCGATGCCAAGCTTTGTGTATCTGACTGGTTTAGCAAACACATTCCCATACATGCTGTTTTCCAGGCTAGCTAGTAGTGCCACGCTATCAGGGACTATGAAAATGAACATGCTGACAGATAATAATTTGGTCGTGTGGGGTTAAACATAATCCATGACTTAAAACGGAGGTAAGTAGCCGTACCGTACTTATAACTGTCACCAGCCAGCACGTGATACAGTTCGAGGTATGGATAATCATTCACAAGCAGAATTTTTTCATTGATTTCATTGATCACCACACATTTCTAATTGATACTGGTTGCACTATACTTGGAATAGTGGCATGGAGGCAGATAAGCTAGACCTCTGTCTACACTGAGGTGTGATATCTATAGCATTTCTGACCGTGTGTTTGCCAGGTATTGTTGATCATTAAGAGTGTAGTCAGATATTGTTTTTTCTCCACGAAGTAATAATTTATAGTTATATCATATATGTATCTCTGTATCACGTCACTGTATCTCATTATCATGATGTTTCTTTGAGTTATGATGGTATGGTGGTGTTGTATCTCTGTATCATGTCACTCTATATAATGTTGTTCCTTTGTGATATAATGGTGTTGTTTGGTTGTGTCCCTTAACCGTTTCATTGTATCTCTGTATCATTATACTGTATCCCTTAATCGTTTCATTGTATCTCTATATCATATACTGTATCCCTTAATCGTTTCCTTGTATCTCTATATCACTATGTTGTATCCCTTAATCGTTTCCTTGTATCTCTTTATCACTATGTTGTATCCCTTAATCTTATTGTATCTAACTTGTTTGTTTGATTTCTTTTCCTTTATGTTATGGCTCTGAATATGTTTACTATATCTTTATATACCTTTGATGTCTCTCCCTTATGTTGTATCTATGAATCTTTCTGCTGTAACTTAATGCATGGTTTTGTTTGTATACTGTAATCGTTTCATGAATGCTTGACCTATAAACCTGACAGATTCCTAGTTCAGGTTACTTATATGCTGCCTATATAATAAATGTCAAAGCCTCTAGAGACCATACCACGTGTGCCTCATAAATAATTAAACACAGATAGAGTGTTCACATGGTGAAATTGATAAACTTTTTTCTGTTTTATTAGTCACCCTCCATAATGCTTCATGATGCTTGCGATTTTGTTTTGTTTTAAACCCCGTAGTAGTATTGTTTCATCTTTGTAGGTATTTGCGTGAGCATGGGTCATTACAATGAAATCGTCAACATTTCAAACGGATGAGACTGTTGATCTGCATGTAGCGTGGCTTCTACAGCGTGAAAGACAGAAACGAATAGAGAAACGAAAAGGAATCGGGTCTGTGATTTTCGTGATAGGAATCCCTTTGTCTATTCTAGGATTTGCCATGTCACTTGTTGCATATTCAGAAATAGTGGGAACAGATACGATTCCAGCCTTTCGGATTACTGGCCCTGTGTTTCTAGTGGTAGCATTCATTCTGTTTCTGATCGGAGCCATCATGGCTGAAGTGCTAACTATAAGGTTATCACGGAAACGACAATATGAAATTGAGAGTATCGAGCTACAATCAGAATTCCTTCGCGAAAAAGAGAACTTAAGTGAAGAGGAGAGTAGCGCTGAAGAACTGACCAGAGAAAATGTCAGGCGGAGTGGAGATGAATCACTATTCCAGCAGTTCAAACGGAGTTCCAGCGTTATAAGTGAATCTCTCGTTAATATACTTCCTTCCCGGAACTGTAGAATTGAACCTCAGGAGTGCGAGGAGACATAGTGGTGAGATATGGATCAATTACTGCTCAACGTTGGTGAGATATTGGTGAGCTATGTGAACGCTTGTGTGTGTACAATGGTGAGTTGTTTGATGTGAGTCAGTGTTATTGACACGAGTATATGAACAAAAAAAATGTATTTATGATTTATATGTTTGCTGATAAGTAAATGTCTGTGACAAATAGTTAACTGTTTACCAACTGATATAATCTTACACGTGAGATGATGTGCGTGTCATCCGTGAGTCATGCGTGTATCTGTGCATGTGTCCTTGTCAACCATGACACTATCATGCACTTTATTGACTATTTCTGGAATTTTAACAGCGACAATCGTTCCAGGACGTGTATCATCCCCAAGGCTATGCCTGCCACGCTTTAATTACACTACCTACCTTTTCAGCGTAGTATATGAAGGGGTACCATCCCCTAGTATTGCTACCATATCAGTATGAATATCATGAGGTGCTAGACCTTTATTGTGCAAATATTAAATCACTGCTCTTTCAGCGATATTGTCCATTTTGCAAAAGTCACTTGTCTTGTTTACTTTAGAGTACTAACTATTCTACATAAACTGACCAAAAGACACCAGTCTTCGGGTACACAGCCTTAAATAGTTAGGGAACAGTATAGCTGAAAAAGGGCATCGTTGCTTATTTCGTCAATACAGGCCCACACCTTATCAATTAGCCCTTTTATGTATATATCGTGTGCAGATTTAAGTGAATTTTAGTGATCTCTGTTTATGCTGATGTATGTGTATATTGGCACATGTTTGTTGGTGTAGTGAGCTACATTATGTATGTTATTTGATGTGTGTATTGTGAGTTACGAGCATCTTAATGGTAGTGCAAATTGGTGAGCTATATTCAGTGGTTGTAAGTGTGCACTGGTGACCAACTTTGGCATGGATGTAACCGTTTGTACGTAGATGCTGTGGTAAAAGTGAATGGCGACTGGTGACCTGCGCATTCGTGGATGTATTTTTTACAATTTAACTGACTGTCCATATCAAAAAAAGGGAATACCAATTGTATCCGTTTTCATGAAGCGTCTGATTCAAATTATGAAAACTTCCCCTCTGAGTTTCCAAACGTTCAATTTCTGTTATCATTGATACTATATCAATAAACGTTTATTTAAGGATGTATCTTCATGTGTGTGAGTCTTATTTTTTGTTTTCTATTTAAGTGTATCATACATGATTATATGAACTTCTATACCTTCTATAAAGATATGAATAACAATTGTCCTTGTGGAAATGCTTTTCTAAACATACGCACTGTTGCGACACATAATTGTAATATGATGTCGGCGCATTCCAAACTGAAAGCTAAACTATGAATACGTTCATTTCCGTTTTGCTACTTTGTTAATATAGCTGTAAATGTGGATGTTTAAATCCATCGTTTTGCTAGTTTATTAAAAAAAAAAAACAAGGTAATGCGCTAAACATTGATGTCAGTACTAAAATGACATTGTTTCGGCTAATGATTGCAATATTTGTATCACGATATATGTTATATTGTGTATGTGGCAACGGTCATTTTATAGACTGGTGTGTGGTCTAGGCATCCGTTGGTGATCTTTGTATGCTAATACAGATTTGCAATATATATATATATATATTGTTAATGTAGTGATATATTATAGGGTTGTTGCTGTTTATACATTATACTTATAAATGTCTGTGTGATTATCAGTATTGTTTGATTTTATATAAATAAAAATACAACGTATAACCAGTTTCATATAATGTCTATATGTGAGCAGTTTAATGTGCAATAATGATGGTTCTGTTTGATTTAAAAGATAAATTTATGTTGTTCTTTATCAATAGTAGTAGTTTGTACTTTAATCAATTTTTCTACGGAGATTTAACAAATAATATTGTTGCTTCAATCAATGTTTTGACTTCAGCAAACATATCCTGTTTAATTATGGCAATTAATGACGTTCTCATAGGGGAAAAATCATAGTTATTAAAATAATCTTCATAGTGTATTGCATTTTCTCAAATAGGCGTCTTGTACGAATGCGTTGTTTGATTAATCAAATGTTTTATATATATGTCCAGCTTAAAATACATTGACGCATGTGATATAAATACAACATATTAATTTCTGATACTTGTGCGATGTTTTTTGTTAGTATTTGTAGTAGTTGCTTTCCAAATATAACCAATACCATTTGATAATATATTTATTTGTGACTTTAAAGAAAACGATATAGAAATTAAAGATGTCTCTAACAATAATCGATTCAGTCGTTAATTAATAAACAAATATTCCTGATAATGTTATAAGGAATGCTTATAATTTTGTTATTGGACTGATTAAGTTATTAGATTAAAGTTAATTAAATTATTTCCCTGTAAAGAAATCTGTGACCTCACCTCCAAATTGGTTACTCTACCACAATAATGCAAAACCAAAATCATATGATTCGATTAACACCATCCTGACTACAAAAAGAGGGATACTTATGTTATGCGGTTTATCAAATTGTACAAAAGACATACAAATAAATAACATCTTTTAATACAAATTTAGATCAGTGTAGGCAAATGATTAATTCAACTGATCCAATAACTCGTCACGGATGCTAAGGACCTAAATTTTGAAACCGAGGAGTCGACCGAGGAAAATTGAGTGAAACTAATGTCAAAATCTGGATGGAGAAGTTCCCTATCACCCTAACTACATGAATTTTGTACTTTTACTGTGTTTGATAATTTCAGAAGAACGTCAAGTACTTGTGTATATTCTGAACTACGTCCCTGATTAAGTGAATTAAAAAGTGACCTGCAGGTTACGACAAACCCCGGGCACTAAAACGTATAACTCTCTAATTCAGTGTTTGGATATGCTGATTCTAAGGTGCTATTGACTAGTGAATCGGCAGGTATATGTAACGTCGGCATGAACTACACGCTTGTATTGCCGTCTGGTCGGAGATCATGTTGCTATGATTCCCTAAGGTACCGCTTCAATATAAACACGGAATGCATTAAAAACATCAATACTCTAACTTCCCCTCTCATCAATAATAATTAGACCTGGCCTGAGTTGCCACTCACTCGCCCAGGATATATCCACCTATACTACGACGACGAGATGGTCTGATTGAATGTTTTAGAATTCTTCTACCTGTTTAAACATGAAGGGTATTTCCCTTGTTCCGGGTCAGTGACGTGCTATATACAAGAGCTGGTTTATATCAAACGTCTTACGTGTGTACAAGATGGCGAAGGTTGTGGAACATTTATTCATTACTTTATCAACAGGTAAGATATGGCCGTGTTTGTTGATCCAAAGGTGACATGCGAAACATCTCCATAATGTCTGTATGAATCCATTATATTATTATACGTAGAATGGGTAGATTTCTTTTGATATTAAATCTAAAGCCTGGTCTATAAATTGCATGCTAACTCATAAAACCTCGATGATATTTGATACTTGTTTGGAGAAAAGGTATAACAGTATTTCTGATGTGGTTTACCTTGATATAAGCTACATGATGATCGACTATCGTAAACGAATTTAAAATACAACTTTTTCTACAACATACGGAATATTCAAAACCTGAATTTCATTACGAATCGCCATATAGGATAATCAGACCACCCATGTTGTTGGTGACGTTCAGAGGGAGACTTAGATATGTAAACCGGTTGTCGGGTGGTGTGCTGGAATATCATGTTACCACAGGTAGCCTGGAGAGTCATTATATAAAAGGGTTCACCAGCTTGTAGGTTGATATGAAATATAGCTTTTTTATTGACAAAGTGTTTTTTTTTGGACAAACAGGCATGTATAGGGACAGTCATCAGCGAACTAAACTTGTATTGGTAATTGTCCTCAGCGTTTTGTTAAATATGCAATAAAAGCTTTTAACGAGCGTGTTTTGATGAACAATCGATATCAACATTTCTGTCATTGTTTGTACAACATATATCACTTTACACTACTTTGCACATTTTTATGCTTGGAGTAAACATCCATTGTATGAATTAGTTTTGAAAAATTAAGATCTAGTTTAAATACTTTAATAATTCATCGTTGATTCAAGCCTAAATTAAACGTTACAGATTTTACAAATATTTCCATTCTTTCCTGGTAATGATGTTCACTTCTCTTCAATTAGTCCACGTTGATAATTTACAATTTTGAAATTATTTACATCCAACACCTGTCACTGTTATTGCATTTCATATTTAAACAATAACGTAAGGTAATAAAATTATTACTCCTTCAGACTTCGAATTCAAGAAAAAAAGTTTTGTTTCTTTCGTCATTATTAACAACCAGTCAGTATCGAATTCAATCATTATAAAACATCTTCAAATACTACCTAATAATAGTATATGATCATACACAATACATAACCTCATTAGGCTTTTACTATGTAATCAGATGTCACATCGCCATTTAATATACGCAGTTAAACAATTCAGTATTACTTAAAATAAGGATGGTGTCAAAAGTCAAAACAGTCGACTGCTTTTCTTCTGATTCTGATAACACTCTCGATACTGATAGAACTACAAACCTTTAGTTCTTTAATAAACCGAATCAAACTCCCAAGTTTCATTAATTATTCATAACCAACATCGACCGTAGCATCCTAGCTTCCAGTTCCCTGTGTATGGCGCCTCTCAACTGGCATCTGAATCTATACATTTGTGATAAACGACCTTCCATCCTTATCTGATGTAAACAAGATGAACATCGATCTTTGTACTTACATCTCAATAAACTTATAAGCGTTTCCTCGTGACGTGTGTAGGACACTAGCGATGTATTTGGCAATATATTACTTACAAATAATTGACTGATATTTTTGTTATCTCTTATTCATTTGAATAATCTTGACCAAACTTTTTAACTTTGAACAAATAATGATGCTGTCACCATATATAAAAATATCTTACTTTCCATCAAAACAAAGTTTACATATTCTGAAATGTTTATATTTAGAATTATTTAAATCAAATGACATATTTCCTTGATATCTCACTGATTTGTGTTGTGAAATGTAACAATCATTTCGTAGACAATGCATACTGTACAATAACAATTTTTCGTGGGTCTCAATATAAATGTAGCTTGGTTAATTTGGCTAAACTGGAATTCACGGACATATAAATCCGAGGATTAACTGTGTACACGAAACCAACGAAAATGAATATCCACGAAAATTGATGATTTTACATTAATGTGTAGATATTTCCATTATAATAAATAAACATATACAGAACGCAATAAAAGGTCTTTTGAAAAGCCAGGTTTACTGTTGTCGGATGTTGTTATAATGAGAAATCAGAAATGTATCAATTTTAATAGTTACTATTGTATTTGTATGGTATATTCGCAGGTGGAATGATTTAAATACATAACAAGAGTGCAATATAATTCCATCAAACAAAATGGAGGAGACTGATAAGAAGTACTGGAATAAACAGATAAAGGGCATGCTTGGGCCATGCATGATCACATTCGCAATTCCATTGACAGTGCCGGGATTAACAATAACGCTTGTAGCATTTAGTGAAGATACAACATTTGAAACCTACGGTGTTCTTCATATCGTCGGAATTTTGTTCCTCGCAACAGCTATAATTTTACTAATACTTGGATGTATGTTGCGAATCCTATGGAAACCTTTTATTGGACCAGATGTTGAAATGCATTTAACACCATTACAGTCCGTAACAAGTTTACGAAAACATAGAAAAGAATATCAGCAAGCGAAAATAAACAATATTTATACTGGTGCAAGAGTCGGACCTGAGCAACAGGGACCGCGGAATGAATCTAGATTCCAAGAGACTTATCCGACTGGAGGACAAGCTGTTCTAGGTGGGCAAATGACAGGGAAAACTGCCAAACAAACCCAGGAGACAACTCAGAAATCAGATTTGCAAAATAGATCTTGTGATACCGACAATAGACGGAGATCAAGAGATTCTATTAGGAAAAAGAGGCGATCGTCTAGATCTTCCATTGTACAAGAAGATTCGTCACTAGAAGGAACAGGGAGTGAATCCGAGTCAGCCATGTGTATGAAAAAACACACCAGGCAAAGCTCGGTTGGTTCCCAGAAGAGGGAAGGAAGAAGACATTCCAATGAAGGAAAGGCGGATGAGGCATATCCACAGGAAAGGTCGAAATCACATAGACGTGCAGCAACGCCACCTAGCGGAGAAACATGTCTTGATGATATTCAACAATGGCGCCAGAGAAAGAAAACCAAACAAAAATCAAAAACGCAAGTGGGAGACTCGGGTGTTATCAACGCAGGCAGTGACTGTAACGATACAATCACCTCCAGACCTCTGCCAAAATTTCAACTGAATGAACGGCCATTGTCTTCAAATCTAGAGAATGGCAGTTCAACGGGCGAAGAAACCAACTCTGGGTAAGATTGCTTACTTACTAATTTCATTTTCTTCTTTCTAGTTGATAAACGTTGGTAAATAATTTAAGTACATATCATGATTTCTGGCATTGCGTTTGAAGGGGAAAAGTGTTAAATGTTAGTGAAAACTTCAACTTTTTTCTTTTATACATATACGCTGTATATTGTTACTGAATTGATCAAATTACTTATTGCATACTGTAAACGTTGTTATATTTGAGGAGATCTATAATCAGTTGTTTTCGCCGCCACAAATAGATACGCCGAAAATGAAATATTTCACATGACAAACAGTATGTTACAGTAAAAATAATAGCCTTATGCCTCAAGCATTTGATTTGAGAAAATTGTACCCTACAAAAATTACGCTGAAAGATACAATCAATCAATTTCCTGAATAATCTTATTAAATGTGGACTGTGTTATATAATGCACTCAATATATATTGTTTGCTTGCATGATGGTAATCTTGCTGAACACATTTAAGAAGGATCAAAGTCTTAACAGTGTAGCCTTGGTACCCTTGACATCAGCATATTCCATCTCTTCTAGATACTCTTGAGATCTCTGGTTAAAATCGATAGTTTCCTTTTCCTGGAGTAGTCCATTTGATGGAACATGACGAATCGGTAATCTTAGCTATAAAATACGGACACGGATTGACTTCTCTAATACTAGAATTACCGCGTACAGTCTTAGCACAGCTTAAGAATTTTTCATTGCTTTCTGGCACGATAGAAATACAGTTACACCGAATAGGACGACCATCATACTAGCTTTGAACACACATAACGTATTAAGGTTTAATAAGTAAATGAAGTAATGTTGTAGTTATATGCTGGTCTACACTACGTGATTATCCTGGAAATAATTATCGACAATTGCCTTATAAAGGCATTTTTTATTCAACCAGGAAATCTTTGATATCAACGCTTTGTATGTCGGTTAAATAACATCACCAAACACAACAAAATAGGCCAAAGAAATGGACGTAGATATCCTGTTAAGAGTCAACAAATCACTAAAATTAATAAAGATATTAGCAACAAAATGTTGAACAATTTCGAAACATGATGCGAGATCATATCGTCGGATCAATGATTTTTATATATCCCGAGAAACTGCCGCAACATCCATCTCGTTCATAAATGAAGTTAACGTTTGGAAAAGGTACCAAGGAATTAGGGATGGTAATTTCTACTTTTCTTCCCACAGAGGAAAACAATGCTGCCCAGAACGGGTTGAAAGATTGCCATGGTTGGGACCCTAGTGTCAAATTCTTTACATTAATATTATTGCCCTAGCGCAGAAGGGCTTTCAAATGCCACACACCATGAGTACACACATATCTTGCATCTTACATTTAAGTGCTCCATTAATTAATCATTCATTCATGTATTTATGTATTCATTCATCCATTCATTACCCCACCCTACCCCTACACTTTTTAGCTTGATTGAATAAAAGTACCATGTGTCTTTTTTGTTTTATAAACCAGCCAATCCGCTCGCTCGCCCCGTCAAAGTTTACTTCAGCATGACGATTCTTTAGACAGGAAGAAACGACGAAAGAAGAAACGTACATCAAAATCTGTGAAAACTGACTCCATAGGTGATCCTCCCAAACCCACACGGGTGCTGCCACCTGTGCTGAGAAGTCGTCACCTGTCTCAAAGTGATGGTGAACACCCATTAAAAGACTTATCCCAACAAAGGTCATGTTCTAGTGACTCCATCAACAGTATAGGATCAGCAGATTCTGTGTTGGCTCAGTACACCTCCAGAAACCCAGACGTGTAGAAAAAACCGACCTGCTTATAATTTTGAATCTGCTTTAGGACATAAATTGATTGTGAATATTGCTGAAATACTTAGGGATGGGAATGGGTAGATGTCTTGGTAAGTAATGGAATATAAACGTGCAATATTATATTCCTGGCAGTAATGCTAACGAATTATCACGAATATTTCAACATTCTACAATGTTTACCGTATAGGGCACCGGGAAAAAAAATTTTCTCAAATTTTTCAAAACATTCCGTCCATCGTGTCCAGAGCTACGTCCCTGGTAATGGTGCTTTTCCTTTTCTTTTGATCCCTACCAATAGTCCAGAGTGACAAAGATACAAAAGATACCGTTTTATTATTGAGTATACTACTGTATATATTACTAAATTCCTATCTAATGCAACATTAAAATATGTCTTTCATGTCCACCTGAAATGGGCTAAATGCTATACTAAAGGGATGCAAAATTAATTCAGATATCATTTTTTAAATCTGTGCCGTTCCAATGAGAGAATTAACGCATTGTCCCCTGCCAAACACCACTGATATTAATCAAACATTAATACTGTCTTGTTGAATTTACCTTTCTGATGATGAATCTCTGCACGAAGCATAATGCTTACGATATTATATGCTTCATTTTTGACTGATAAGTTTACGCTTCTCATTCACTGTAAAGAAAAATGGCATATTTTTAAAATTTTATACCTTACTTTGATGTTTAATACCTTCTCCGTCCATTTTCTGTTATGCATTATGTATATACATGTATATAGGATGTAAATATTGACGACTAGCAAACAAATATCACGCCATTTTCATGTTTATGTAAAGCTACCTGATCTAGTTGTTCTAAGCACTTTTTAATTCGTCTTCTAGGAGTTTTAAATGAAATAGCAATTAAAAGTTTAATTGATACATCGTACTTACCGAGATATCCATTTTATATATGCAGAATGTTAATCTCTAGAACACAGATTTTGTCTTCTAACGGTTAAAATGGATAGAGAGAGTTCTTAAAACCTGAAGTATTATAAAGATTAATTATATTTAAGACATGTAGATGACCGTTTTCCCTTATTCCTGATGTAACCTTTTGTATCTGACTTTTAAATGTTTCCTCTAAGTATTATTTAACTCAATTGATAGTTGAATGACACTGTTTATGAATTTCGTTTGATAAAAAAATACATATATCAAATAACTGTGATATGATAGCTTATTCCTAGCTCTTTATCTTATATATATTTTTTTCGTGTATAAAATTGTTCAGTTCAAATCTGTATTGTCATACCTGGATCCTTACATTACTTTCTTTTGTATTTTTGCTAAGGAACAGATATAAGTCCATTTTCTATATTTATTACGCGTATTCTTGTCTCGTCGCCTATTCTAACATCTTAATTTCATATTTCCAGAAGCAGACATTAGAAACTTCATCGAATTTTTTTTTTATTTTTTAAAAAAATATCTTTTAATTGCATAATCATATCATTTATTACACTAAACAGCGATAGTGTGCTAAAATGATGCGGTGAATGTGATATATCGTTGTAGTTTTTGAATTTTTCAAACATATGACTTATCTAAGAATTAATTATGTGTTAGACTACCTACGTAGAGGGTATCTGTATGATAATGTTTAACAACAGTAGTGAATTATTGCATATGAAATTGACACAGAACAATAGTTTAATGTTACATAGTATTTCATCATCATTGAACACAAACATTTACATGTAGAACTGTAGTGCTTTGTGTTTGTTTGTTTGTTTGTTTATCGATATGTTACTTGTTTTGTTACTCCAAATAAAGTTTATATATATATAACTTGTTTTGTTACTCCTTATCTAGAACTTTGTTGCTGTCATATAATAATGTATGATATAAAATTGATAAAGTTATATAATTCAGGTTTGTTATATATATATATATGTATATATAAACACACTTTGTGCAGATGATTTTGACTATGTTTGTAAGAAACGATTGATTTTTTGCGCAAACAAAATGCTAATAAATTATCAACAGCAACAAAACGTAAAACTATACGAGTTATCTCCCTTCCACTAGCTCGTCGCATGGATGTGGTACAATACATAGTTTGTCTTATTATTTTTTTAAAGTAATTGTACATAGTGTCGATTGCTTATATGAAAAAAATGTAACTCATCTAGCGTATTTTGTCTTGCAATATAAAATGTCCATCTCTTGTAGTGTGATGCATAATACCATGTTGAGAAATAAACGCTTAATTAGAGTAAAATATCCTGAGATTTGTATATCTTCTCATGTATAAACTAGTTTTCAGAAATTCCGACATTGTGGCATATTGGAAAGTTTGATGAAATATCTTACTTTCGATAATATGTATTGTACTTCTTTGACTTTGCAATGGTGGATAAATTACTTAACAATGTGTCATTAGTGAAATGATGTTTAAATATAGTCGAGTTCGGCTTTTGCAATCCAGTAATAATGTTTGAAATTAAAAATATATTGAACTTTGATATGTTTCGATAAATTCCAAAATTAGTTCGAATCTTAACCAGAGATCAATAGGACCAATCGAGAACGTTGTTAATGTGATTTGATTATTAGGCATATTTAGCCACGTGGAGTTCAATGTAAAACTGTGGCGTTATTGTTCCTATTGATTTTTGTTTTGTTTTGTTGTTGTAACTATCACTATCACAACTACCTAAATAAAAACCATGAAACCTCCACATCATTTTTTTAATTTATCTAGAATTACGGAATAGAATTTTTAAATAAGCTGATCGGTAACCATAATACCGGGGTAACTATGGCCGGCTCTTGTTGATAGGCACAACAGTGATGTCTTGTATTGTATTTGTACATGTTTAATCATTTATCCGGATCCAAACTTTGACTGACGAAACGGAACAAATAAAAAAAAATGTCATTTTTCCTAATACATCTCATCAATTAATAACGTTACAAGAAGCAATTTTCAAGCGCTTCAGTAGCGTAATGACACATCAAATATAGAGACACAATTATCGGTATTCTATCCATATATGTATATATATGTGTATATGCTTTATCAAATTTTCATATTAGACATGCAACAACAAGCCATTGCTAAATCAACTTTCTGTTCAAGACACGTGACAATAAGCAAATGTTACATCAAAATTCCTTTTTGCACAAGGTACTTTTGAAGCCTAGGAGGCGTCTGAGGAAAAATCTAGATTGGAAGGTGCCCTAGTCCTGTAATTAAATACATTTCATTATTTTATCAGATAAGGTTAGAACAACGTCAGGCGCATGCGTATATCTTGAACCGTTCCACTTTTCTAAACAAACGTAGCGTGCAGGTTACCATCCTCAGGTACACAAACTCCACCAGCTGTGACTATCACCCAGTATCTCAAAGAATGTAAAAAACACAAGTGAATAGCACTTTTTTCATACAACTTTAGAGTTAGATGCATATTTCATGAAGTGAAATGCAGAGGAGAATTACAAATGAAATTGCTAGACATGCTAAAAATAGAGGCAATATATATATTTAGCCATTTAGTGACAAGAAAATGAAATACATGTATATAGGTGTCGCACTTCGTGACTTCGGCTTTGTGACCTATATACCATTAATGGCTTAAAGCATGATAAAGAGTTAATAGTGTTTCTAAGAGACATCAACGAAAGCAGACCGCGGTTGTGTTTTACACGTGTGACAATCCACCACTGCTTTATCAAATGTTCATATTAGACATGCGACAATAAGCCATTGCTAAATAAACTTTCTGTTCAAGACATGTGACAATAAGCAAATGTTAATTTTCGTTTCACTAATTTCAATTCACTGATTGATCATTCCAGCTTATCACAACAGTAGCTAGAAGTGGTTATTCCGTTTCCTATTACTCACCAATTTCTGAATTTAGAGTTTAAAAAGTTAAATTCATCTTTTAAATTCTTTCCATGATCCCTTTACTAGGTGTCCTACACATATGTATTTACAGACAGATAAACAAGTGTATATAACCATCCTAAGAACAAATCCTGCCTTCTAACTGCACGTTATTGTATTAATTTAGTGTAAAAAGTATTGATTCAATAATTTTGCCCAATATATGATGTACATGTACTTGAAGGAACTTCTCTTAAACTAAGCCCAAGTGCAACTGGTTGTGGACGAATTATATTGACCAGAGATGAAGTACATGTGTGGAATGGAAATATTCCTCAACATTGAACACCTACTTTTTCATCGGTTGATTATTTTGACGGATAGTTAGTAATTCTGAAGTGACTATTTTGACTAAAGTTACTCGGTACGATTCGTGCCACGAAGCAAGTTCTTTTGTCATTTACACCTTATGATTGGCAAGGACCATTAGTTATAACTTTGTCATTAGATAAGATTAACAGATTGTCCTTATAAACAACAGACCAATTAGAATCGAGCTTAAACAATATAATGACGGCCTTCGCCCTTTGATTATGAATTAAACAAGAAGCCAATATTATATGTCTTCCTCATATTAGGATTTGGCACACCTCCAGTAATTTATTACCAACCGTGAAACATGATCAATTTGAAGCATAAAATAGGTTTAGTAATCCTGATTTTAAGCAATACTGAAATCAGCTGAATTATACAATGATAATAACTATTTTCTCAAGGAACACAAATTCAGGAGAAAATAAAACATTGTTATTGCACGTAATGATTTTTAAAGATTACTAACAAAAAAGACAAAATTGGAGAGTAACAAAAGTGAAGGTATTAGATATGTAAATTTTGTTTATATCCGGATTGTTTGAGATGTGAAGTATTAGACCGGAGAGATTCACATAATATTGCTACTTTATGCTTACTTATATATACTTACTCAGATGTAGGGCCAGTGCACCTCTCCATCTAGGTTTTGACTATTTCTTCCTATCACTTTGGATTTTCCTCATTCGCCTGCTTGGTTTCAAAATTAAATGCGAGTCCTAGAAGGACAAAACAGCTGTATGATGTAGCATCTCTGACA